TTGAAAATCACACCTCACAAGTAGATAAATAGAATAAAATATATAAATGCACTTTCTCAATAATGCCATGCTATACAAATATGATTTGCCATTTTCCCCCTGAGCTTTGGCTATGCATTGCCATGATATACTATATTACAAATTTAAATTTTATCAAAGGAAAATATATCTGACCAGTAATAGACCTAGAAATTTTATATGTATATGAGCTACCATAATTCACAAAAATAATGCTCTTTTTTGTTAACCATGTAATTAAAGATCAAATGAGAGTTATTTATTCTAAAGTATACTAACCGAAAAGAACTTTTCTATAATGGACTAATATTATCAGTTTGCAGGTAAACATTACACTATTACCCCTTTTACAGAGACCAGAGACAAGGTGTTTATCCTCCTACCAACCTTTTGGTAGAACAAACAATGGAAGAAATCCATTTCATTACATAGGTTTATTCTAAAGTTAAAGCACATACACTGAGCCCCACCTCATCTCTTTGCCCATTCAGCAAGGGGTAAAGCACTCCTAATAGGAGTAAAGACGGTCCTAAAACACTGAGAATGGATCATGCCGAATTGGCTTCACATTGTTCACATTTTAAAGCCCAGTGACATTCACTATGTGCTGATATTTACAAAAGCAAATCAGTGAAAGCACTGGTCTATTCTGAAAAAAAAAAAAAAGAAAGAAGAAAGGTTGATAAAAGAGTTATTAAGAAGAAGAAACAGAATATTCCTGTTTTAAAGCTTCAGAGTCTGCACGCAGAGCAAGACATTTTGTGTTACATCCCATTGAGTCAGCTCTGACTCCTGGGACCCTATAGAGATGTCCAAATGTCTGGACAGCTTACAGCCAGCTTGCAGCAAGCCCTTATCTTCCCCAACCCAGGACATGTGAGAACAAATGGTTAATACCTTTCCTCCCTAACCAGAGAATACATAGCTTAAATCACCCTGGTATTGCTAAGGCAGGATAGGAGAAGGAGAAGTTAAGAAGGGAGAGTTTTATCTCATCCACTAAACAAAGAAGTCAGCTGTCTTGGGGGAGTAAAAAGGGGGAGTTTTATCTCACCCACTGAAAAAAGTCAGCCATCTTGGGACTTGCCAGATGTTCTCATAAATTCTGGGAAAGGCCACAACAAAGTAAAAGGGAGACCTTGAAATTTGCTCCGTGCCTAAGATATCTGGAAGAGGAGCCTTGAAACCTGTAGACAGAGGGTATAAAACCCCTTGAATCTCCACCAGGCTGAGAAGCCTGTCTGTGCTTCATAAGCCAGATATATTTTGATAAACTTGCTTGCCATGCTTCTTCGACAAATTCGATTTATTAAGGAGAGGACAGCCCTCTCCTTCCATCGGTAATACCTTTCTGGTGACAGTAACACCTCCAGCACCAGATAAGGAGCTGGAACACAATGGATGCTAAATGCTTATTAAATGCTTACTTAGGAGAGAAGTATGAAATGAAAAGCTCAGAGCAGCAAACATAAGCATATAAAATAACAAAAAAGGTGGTTTAACAAATGCCTAATGACAATTTCCATTTCAGAAAATAGAGCTGAAACTGACCTAATGGGACATTGAGGATAAAGGAGATCCCCTTCCTATTGCTTTTCTCCATGCCAATAGGCATGATTATGAAGCCTCTCATGAAAATATCAAAAGAAGGATTTGGAAACGTCTGCCCTATGGAGTTCCGCTTTCTCTTAGAAAGTAGGGTGGCTGCAAACCTCCTTGGTGTCAATCATTTCCTTAGAAAAGTCATTTGCTATGACCTTTCCTAGAACACTAAATAGTGTAATGGACACAGCTAACTGTCCAGAAAGAATTATAATGTAGTTAAAGAAATTTGAATGACCTCAAATTTACTGACATGATTGAAAAGATTACTTTTCATGCAAAAACACCTTAAATTTCTGTTTTTATAATTAATATTGAAGCAAAGAGTAACCAACTCCATTCTTACCTATTTTTCTATACAGATAAAGTAGAAATATAAACTTTAATTTCTTCTGAAAAATTCTAACATGCACTTAAGAATCCATTCCTTCTTTTCAAAGTTCTTAAAACAAAACCCATTTTGAAAAGCACCTTCAAATGCTATAACAAATACACAAAATAAAGTGCCAATCACCTTATTTTTGACATATAACTATATTCTACTGCTGTGCAGCTTATATGACCATCAGTCATCTGCAGCCGCAACATCCTTGGTGCAGCCTGAGACTCTTCATTGTCCTTTGGCGCAGCAACATTGCGAATTTTCTGAATTTGCAAAACACATGGACCTTCAAGCTGTCAAAACACAAAGAAATAAATATCAATTTCTAGCCACAGCTTTGTTTTCATTTATAGTGCATCTCTTTTCCTTAATGATCAGGCTTTATGACTTATAATGATCAATTAAATAAGATCAAAACTGAAATTATATTACATAGATCAGGGTGGGTTTTTTTATATTTTAAGATAAAGAGTCTCCTAAAAAACATTTTAAAAAATTATTCTGGATTCATTTTCAGAAAGTAACATGAAAACTTTAGGAAAACAAAATTATATTTCTGAGTCAAAGTTGTATTAATAGATGTTTTTAGTCATATGTGCTCTAAATCATTCACATAGATCCGCCTTCTCCTCCCATGCACATTAAGGGACATTCTGGAACATCAACTTTATAGAAGTAGATAAAAGGAATGTTTTCTATTCAAAAACATCAAATTCAAAGTACACCCTCTTCTGGCATAAACGAAGAACACAATACTCTAAAATGTAAACTATTTAAAGTTTAAGAAGTGGGAGCTATACTTAACTTATTTTCACATTTCCTTTTTAAATGAGTTTAAATCTAATGCTATATTATAGTCATTGTCAGTGGGGGAAAAATTGTTCTCTCTTGCCACATTTCAATCAAAGACAAAAATCTAACTCATGGACTAGATATTATGTTAAACATTTCATATAATGAAACAATAATGGCATGATTGGAAATCACAGCATTTTCTGTGTACATGTCTGAAAAATAAATTTAACATAAAGTGGTACTTTTCACATTATTAAATACTAGGGGCTCGATGCACGAAATTCGTGCAAGAGTAGGTCTTCCTTCCCCCGGCTGCCAGCACTGGCTTCCCTCTGGCACCCAGGACCCAAGCTTCCCTCGCAGCCCCAGCTTCGTCCAGAAGGTCGTCTGGAAGGACATCAGAAGGACATCCAGTCTAATTAGCATATTACGCTTTTATTATTAAATATTATACCTTTAAGTAATATAACAGCAAGGAAAAAAAATAAACTTCTTGTTATAGTCTTTTAAGTAAAACCTTTCTATGTATGTTAGTTTAATTTATAGTTTCAGTAACGAGAAATGTGAAATGATTGACATTTACACTTAATTTCTCAAGTAAGCATATCCCCAAGTTGACAAATTTCTATTTCATATTTACCAGTATTAGGCCTGCAAAGGCCCAGATAATAGTTAGAGAAAAGAAGCTAAAATGTCATCTAAATTTTAGCCATTAACTAAAATTCCAAGTTGAAACAAAAACCCTTAGCAGCATATAGATATGCTGCTAATTCAAGATGAACTTTCTTTTGTTTTTGTTAATGTCATTAAAATACGTTCTCTTTATTTAACTACTCCCAATATTTTTAGCCTAGACATTGACAAATATCTAATCTGCTGTCTAATACAGTTCACCAAGCACAAGTCTATTTAATTAAAATAAAATGAAATGAAAAATTCAATTCTTCAGTCTCACTAGCCACATTTCAGGTGTTCTATACCTGACAACGCAAACATAGACTGTCTAAACCACTGCAAAAAGTTCTATTAGGCAATCAGTGATGTTCTAGACCTGTGAGCTCCCAACTGCAACCCGTGCATCCTGGGAAGTACACATCCACGGAAGCGTGGGAGGGAAACACTTGTTTATATTTAATTTTTAGTGCAAAAAAATTAAACTTTCCTAATATTTCATATCCAGAGCTACAAGGTGTATCACTCAGTCCATGTAACATACCACTCACAAGGCATCTTTATGGAATTTTGGGAATTGACATAGCACCTTCACTGGTTTGTTTGCTTGACTGTGATAAACTGCCTTTTATTTGTGCACAGCTAAGTGGATATATAGATTATTTTACCTAGTTTTAGCCATTAATGATTACAGAATGTACAAGTGGCTTTAAAAGATCCTATCAAAGAAACACAAATTGAAGATAATGCCAATGACTCATATACAGGGTAGGAATCAGACTGTTTTTGCTGATTTCCTACCTCTGGTTGACCATGAGAACAAAATGCTGGGGAATGCTAGGGTGGAACAGCTGCCCCAACTCTTCATAGCAAGCAGCAAGTTTACTTATTTGATTACTCCAACTCCTGGCCTCCCCATCCCTTTTAGTGGATTAAATAGAGGACTCTTAAAAAAATACAAAAGATAACATTCACTTGGGACCTGTAAACATAACCTTACTTAGAAAAGGGGACTTGGCATACATACGTAAGGTCAGCATCTAGAGAACAGGTGATCCTGGATAAGGATGGGTCTGAAATGCAAGATGACTTGCCATTATAAGAGAAGGGAAAATAAACATGAAGACACAGGGAATAAAGCCATGTGAAGATGGATGTAGAAATTAGAGTTGCACACCTTCAGGCCAAGGACAACAAAGATTACCTGTAGTTACCAGAAGCTAGGAGTCAGACCATGAAACAGATTCTCCCTCAGAACCTCCAGAAGGAACCCACCCTGCTGACACCTTGATTTTAGACTACTGGTCTACAGAATTGTGAAAGAATAAATTTCTGTTGTGTTATACACCAAGTTTGTGGTAATTTGTTACAGAAGACTCGGGAAACTAACACACTCACCTATGGACTAAGTTGTCTGATTGGGAAGATATAGTATATGTATTGGGCTCATCCTCACCCTTCTTTTTGGGGGGAGACAGCTTACCAGCATTTCACTGGTAACTGACATCATAAAGATGTCAACTGTAGGTACTTGGAGGGAGGAAGTACTGACTCACCCTTCTCCCTGGATTGGCAGTGCCATGAATCTACAAGTCTGTCTGCCTTGTGGTTCAGTTAATGGATCCATTCAGCTCTCCCGCTAATCCACATCTTTCAAATCTATTTTTATCAATAGTAAAGTTGATATTTTGGCCCACATCTGCCACTCCTTTACTTCTCAACTGATTCAAAACCAAAGCAGAAAAGAAGGTACTCTTTATTAGAAACTCTGAAACTATCGATAATCTTTTTTTCAATTCTTTATTGTTTAAAGTATTACGTATGTTCCCTTTTCCCCCAGTGACCTCTCCCCAGCCACTCCCACCCCCCAGCACATGCCCTCACCCCCCTACTGTCTGTGTCCATGGGTTATAGCAGTGGTTCTCAACCTTCCTAATGCCGAGACCCCCATGTTGTGGTGACCCCCAACCATAAAATTATTTTCGTTGCTACTTCATAACTGTAATTTTGCTACTGTTATGAATCGTAATGTAAATATCTGATATGCAGGATGTATTTTCATTGTTACAAATTGAACATAATTAAAGCATAGTGATTAATCACAAAAACAATATGTAACTATCTATGTGTTTTTCCGATGGTCTTAGGTGACCCCTGTGAAAGGGTCGTTCGACCCCCAAAGGGGTCGCGACCCACAGGTTGAGAACCGCTGGGTTATAGTTATATGCATGCACACAAGTCCTTTGGTTGATCTCTTGCACCCCCCACACACACCCTCCCCTGCCTTCTCTCTGAGGTTTGACTGTGTGTTCGATGCTTCTTTGTCTCTGGATCTATTTTTGCTCAACAGTTTATGTTGTTTATTATAGCCCACAAATGAGTGAGATCATATGATATTTATCTTTCTCTGACTGGCTTATTTCACTTAGCATAACGCTCTCCAGGTCCATCCATGCTGATGTGAATAGTAAGCATTCTTTCTTTTTACAGTGGCATAGTATTCCATTGTGTAGATGTACCACTGTTTTTTAATCCACTCATCTGCTGATGGGCACTTAGGCTGTTTCCAAATCTTAGATATGGTGAATTGTGCTGCTATGAACATAGGGGTGCATATGTCCTTTCTAATTGGTGTTTCTAGGCTCTGTTGTTGTTCTGTTGATGTAATCTTTTGATAGTCATTTGTCAATTTGAATCATCAAGCTTTAAAATTAGTGACTCCACAATTCAGAAATATTCTATAAGTAAACCAGCATACATAATAAATTCTTTCATAATTATGTTTATAATGTTCAGTTTATTATACTCTGTAGTCAAAAAATAATGAAGTACTGAGCCTAAATAGATCACAAGTAGTAGAAAGAAATGCTATGATTCTAAGACCCTAAATCCTAACTTTAACCGTGACTCTAAATCATCTAAAAGTATTCACAAAACTGGATGAGAGTTAACTTCAAAATCTTTGTTCAGCTAGTATCAAGGGCAGCCACAAAGTAAAAAAAAGATATAAAAAACAAAGACTAATCTTTGCCCAAGATTTCTTTAATATCTGATTTCCTCTTTTGTGTGCTTAACAAGGAATAAGTAAAAGGAATTACCTTAAAAATTTTAAGTAGGTAAAAGTAACTTGCCATTGTGTCTCCAGGTAAAAATCTCTAATTCAAATAAATGATATCAAGTATCTGCCAGAAATGTTCTCTGAGGCCAAAAAATTCATCCAGGCTTCATTCCTTCCTCTCTTTAGATGGACACCTCTGTCATTTGAATTCCTATGTAGTCATACAACTGGCATGAAATATCAGATTTAAGTGGCTATATTAGTTTATTAATTGACTGATCATCTACACTAATAAAAGAGAAAGATGAAAACTGACCATACCTTCGCGATGCCCACCAGCCAATCAGGAGTGGGTATGCAAATTAACTTCATCTCCTCCGTGGAGACTGACAGCAGGGAGGAGGCAGCTCCCCGCAAGGCCTGCTTGGCAGTCTCTGTGGTGTGGAGCAGGCAGGCCCCACAGAGAGCAGAGAACCACAGGGAGCGGGCCTAAGCCATCAGTAGGACATCCCCTGAGGGTTCCCGGATTGGAGAGGGTGCAGGTCAGGCTGAGGGGGACGGACGGACACACACACACACACATACACACACACACCGTGCACGAATTTCGTGCACCGGGCCTCTAGTATTAAATAACATCCTATCTAATAAAGAGGGAGTATACAAATTGACTGCCACGTCATCACAAAGATGGCAGTGCCCACAGCGGAGGCGGAGTTTCCATAATACAAGATGGCTGTGCCCACAGCGGCAGGCTTTCCGTAACAG